GAGAAAATCTCTGTCTTTCTTTCTTCCCCTCGGTGCCTTCCAGATTGCAAATCCCATCATCCTCAGCCAAGCCGGCCAGGTCGTATAGGCATGGTAGTCTGGTAACTGGAAAGGTGCCGCATTGGGAGGGCGAGGAGAATTTGGTGTTGTTGAATAGAGCATATCCAGGGAGAATCGGGAAAAGGTTGTTAGAGTGATTGATTTTATTTTAAAGGTTGCTAGAGTGATTGATTTTATCTGTGAATTCGTCAGAAAGGGAGTGTGTTCTGGTAGGACCCCAGGAGAACCTCATTCTAGCCTACCTTCATCCATGCAAGCTCATTGGGTGACTCTCAGCCGGTGGCTCTGTCTTGTCCCAACCTCCCTTACAGAGTTGTGGTGGGGTAAATTGGGAAGAAGGACAATGAATGAAATTGATAAGTGAAGGAATGAAAAAGAAAGAGGAAGCCGAGGAAGAAAAGGAGGAAACGTTGCCCCTTCCACCTCCCCAAAAGTAGACCTATTGTAGGTAAGGCAAAAAATTTAATTACTCGAAGAGGTATTGTGGCCTTTCTCCTAAGCCTTCCACTCCAAAAGCAGGAATAAAAAAAACTGGGGTAAAGTATTCCTTTTTGCCCATCCCAGTTCTGTCTTACCATCGTGGTGGTTGTATAATCTCTACCCCACCCTTTCTAAAAGTACAAGCATCTCTTTAATGACCATGGTTTTTTTTATACGATCTGGTTGACGTAACCTTCCAAGATAAAAGGATGTTGAGAAAAAAAAAATCAGTCTTCTTTTTGTGACTTTCCTTATTCCCTCCCGAGAGTTCCCAAAAAATATCAGCACCTATGATCGGAAGGTATAATCAAAGGATTTGATTTCTTAAAAATATCTGATGAGCTTCTGGAGCTAAATTCGACTAGGTTTACGCCACCGGCCTAGCCACGTTATGCTCGGTTGGAGCTTGGATTGCCGTGCTGGGTGAACCCAGCCCTTGTGACTTGTAAATGACAGGTTTGGTTTAGGGTGTTGGTTGAACCCAGCCAACTCTGGTTTATTCAAACATGGCTGAACAATCCATGCCTCCCGTTAAAGCCAGACAATGGGAGTTGTCTCTGCATAGGCCGTAAGGCAGCACCCAGTTGACCTTAGCTGAGCTTGAAAAGGAAACCACGGTTGGATATTGTTAAGACCTGGATGGGAAACCACCAGGAAGGATATCTCTGGGTTGTAAACTAGATTAGAAGGTTGAAAACCATTTCTGTAGTATTGGCAAGTAAACTATCTGGACATAGCTGTGCCCTCCCCAGGAGCTGAGTCCAACTTGAAGTCTTTACAGGAGGAGAGAGATCCATCTTTCCGTTCATGGATTTTCAGGTATCTTGGGTTGAAAAGAACCGCTGCCCCCAAGATGAGGAAACAACCCAAATAAGATTGCACAGTGAAGAAAGGGCCCATCCATGGATGTTCCCTTCTTTCAATAATATTAATAACAATAGGATGGTAGAAGTAGATTTCTCCTTGCTGAGGTTCAACCATCTCTCATTATTTATGAATGGAAACGTGTAGGTTGCCTTTTGAATGAGAGGCTTGCCAAAGCAGCCTGTGAAACACTAACATCTCGCTGCTTAAAATATTTAAACATCCCCCCTTCCCCTCCCCACTTACAGGGGAACCAGGAAAGCCAACGAGAGAATGGTCTCTCAGGCAAGTCATTCATTCATAAAAGTTGAGAACATTTTTTCTTGGCTAAGTCATCAAGCTGCTCTTTTTCAAGGCTGTTTTGTCTTTTCGCCCCAATGTCCTAAACATGGCCTTTTGAAAAGAGCAAAGGAAATCTTAGTGGAATCTACAAGCAGAGAAAATGCCTTTTTTTCAGCTTTTCAACCTAGCTCATGCTTGTCCTCCCAACCGCCCCATGTGGACTTCCCGAAATCACCCCATTTTTTTTTAAGCGTCAGAACCAGGACTGAAATATATTTCTCTTGGTCTTTTTTGTTAGCTTGGCCCCGCAAATGTTGTTGGATGACAGGTCTCATTTTCCTAAGCTAGCATGGCCGTTGGCAAGAGAAGAGGGAGTTGGTGGGGCAGTGAAATCAGGACTCAAATGTTTAGCCTTGAGAAAAGGCCTTTCGGAAAGTGGGTCAAAGATAACTTCCTAATTGGATTCCCAGCTAAAGTTCTGTAAGGGGGAGAAACATCTGCTGAAAAAAATATAAATCATCCCCAAACTGCACAGTCATAAAGGGCCGCACAGTATTTCAGCTGGTGGTGCAGAAGAAGGAATTGTCTAGCTTGTAAGATTCTTCCTAATAATAATAATAATGGCTACTCTTACCCCAAAGAATCTGCTTCAGATCTTTTCAGATAGGGATGCTAAAACACTCTGTTAGCAAAGTCCTTTCCTCCCCAGTCAGTGTTTATGCAGCCAAAATTGCTCTACCGGATACCAAAGGGAAGAATGGTCAATTCTGGAGACATCAGAAGGGTAGAGAAGTAGCCGGACTCTGTCACATGCACACAAAGAAACCTTGAATGGTGGGTGGATGGATGAATGGGTTTGAAACGTGTTTAGTGGATATGGAAGGCAACCTGGACAGAAAGGGGATCAGGGGTGTGGGTGCAGGGGAGGGGATATCCTTCCTTTCAAGATGGTCTTCTGAACCATGCAGAAGGTCTTCTCAAAATAAGAAATACTGATTAACTTGGGGTCTTCCAGCTTCTGGAAATTCCAGTCATTGCTGCTTTTTTGTTCTACATTTTTTCTCCTCTGGGATATTGCAGTGCAGAAACATTGCGGCCCCAAAGGGACAGTCCTGCCTGTGTTTCCTCCAGAGTAAATTGTATTGGGAGAAAGAGGGGGGAAATAGCGTTTATTCCTGTTATTTACTGATTCAGGCATTTTTGTTCCAAGCTGGAGAGCGTAGCTGCTACACTGCAGCTTTAAAAGTTGAAAATAGGACAGCAACATAATTCCAGCGTCCTAATGGTGGAGGTGGAGATTTTTCTGAGCGTGTTATTTCAAAATCCTAATAATCTAATCATTTTTAAATGGCTTAGCAGTGTATATCTATACACGTATAAGTTAGAGTCCTATCCATTGTTGTATATTTATAGGCAATAAATATAGGCAAATAGTCTGATAAAATTTAATAAAGATGAATTCTTTGGGTTTATGTGACACCAAGCAGATTTTTCGTTTAACTTTGGAGAACAAAATTGTATTTTCTTCATGCGTGTCGGTGGCTGCTTCTTAGGGCTGTTGTGGATTTAGTCCTTCAGGCCTGTCTTGATTGGTGATGACGTTTTCTTGGCATGACTTTCAGAAGAGATCTGCTCTTGCCTTCTTCT